GCTATATAGGCCTGCTTGCAGCTACTTGTTTGGTGCTGGCTTTCTTAGCCAGGAAACTGCCTGATAATTTCAATGAGGCCAAGCTGATTACTTTCAGCATGCTCATCTTCTGTGCAGTTTGGGTCACCTTCATACCTGCATATATCAGTTCTCCTGGAAAATACACAGTTGCAGTTGAGATTTTTGCAATTTTGTCCTCAACGTTTGGTCTGCTGCTTTGCATTTTTGCTCCTAAATGTTATCTTATTTTGCTGAAGCCAGAGAAAAACACAAGAAAACATATGATGGGGAAAGTGCCTTCCAAACGACTGTAATGAAAAAAATAACTTCTCTAATACAATAACCGATATCAGTCCTTCAGTCATGTGTCTGCTTCTTGTAGGGTATACTGGAGGCATAGCAAACAAGGCAGGTGATGACGATGATGATGATTATAGTCTTCTAAATAAAGACATTTTTCCATTCTTTTTAATAAGTGACTATTTTGTTATTGTGCTCTCCTCAGAGGCAGTTCATCTATTTTAAATTAAATAAATATGAAAGGTAGCTACATAGCTGACTGACCTTTGTCTAAGCAGCAAGGTATTTTACCTCTTTGTTATAATAAAGGTCCATTTAATTACACATTTTACTGCTTGCAAAGCTGCAAAGTTTGTAATCTGTGTTGTGACTTAATTTAAATCCCTTATTTCCTGACAAAATGTTTAAATACAGAAAAGAGAAAATGATATTAGCATTTAGTGATCAGAAATTGCATTACATGGAAATGTTTAACTGCAGTTTAGGAGAGATACCAACAGGTTAACCATATACAGCTGTTCCCAATCACAGTCATTAAGGAAATTAGCTACTGTATACAGTATATATCAAACACAAACACATCCCTTCACATTCATCATAAACATCCTTCCTCTACCCTATCTCCACCTTGCAGCTACCCGTCGGTTAACTCTTTTATGGGCTTTTCTGAATTCCAGCCTCCTCATCCTGTGGCCAGGAGGCGGCCCATTAACCAAGCAGGTTAAGATACACACATCCTATCAAAAACTGTTACACCTGTTCTTTTTCTTTTTCCC